AAAAAAAAAAAAAAAAAAAAATAGAGAAATTATACATATAAGGAAATACCACTACCCCTACTGCTATCCTAGGGCTTAAATAGCGCACCCAAGAAAGTTCCCACCCATAGGGCTGAGACCCAGCTCTTGTTGGAAAGGGCACGGTGTGACTCGCTGAACTGACAAAGAATTTGCCCCACTGCTACACCAGTGGGACTCGCTGGTATCTTCCCCCAACACACACACTCAACAAATCTGCGGAAAATCTGCCCTCTCGGGTGCGAGGGAAAGCTACTCATTCACAGGGAGGAGTTTTGCGGGAGGCCACGCTGAAGTGAAACCACCCAAGGGAACTGGAAGGGAAAGTTACTGACCTCCGAGTGCTGCAGGAGCTTGGCACTAGAAGGCAGGCCCCCTTTTTATATGCCTATTGTTTATGCTTTTAGTTTAGGTGGGGGTTTTTTGTTTTTTTGGGTTTTTTTTTACAGAAAATGAAAGTTATAGAAGAGGCTTTACCCCGGTGAGTGTATGCATGGCAGATTTTTATGTCATTGCATCTTTATAAGATTTTACTTAGGTTTGTCTTAAGGGGTTACGAGATTCACTATACTAGTTAAGGTGTATCTTTTTAAAACTCATGACAAACAATATAATTTTTGGTTTCTTAAGCGCGTTTATGGATACCTCCGAAGATCTCACACTCTAGAGGAGCTGGGCCTGGAGAAGCACAAAGCCCAATCATTACCCCCAGAGCATTTTTGAAAACAGTAGAACAATTAGCCTGCAGTTAGCGGAGGCTAATAGTTGGGTGTGAGACCAGCAGAGGCACAGAGTTTAACAGAGCGATCAGGGAAGGAGAAAGTCAAAGACAGCACCGTAGAAAACGCTGCATTCTCTGGGTGACTGCACACATGTCCAAGGCTGCACCACCTGAGGTGTGACATGAGAAGCTGCACACGCAAAGGAAACAGACTTGACTGAAATAGGTTATCCACATCATTAAACAAACAAAGAAGGTCTGAACACCGGGGCTCATGCCTGTAATCCAGCACTTTGAGAGGCCGAGGCAGTGGATCACTTGAGCTCACGAGTTCAAGACCAGCCTGGGCAACATGGTGTAAGCCCATTTCTATTAAAAAAA